TTTCCCTACTCCATAAACACCCTACTCCATAAACTACTCTCTAGCCTTGATCACACCTTGGAACTACTGCATGAGCAAGTGGAGAATGACAATCTGGATTGTCCCTATTTGGGAATTGTCCCGAAATATTTCCAAAGAATCCATCTCTATCTGAAGGAAAAGGAATACAGCCCCTGTGCCTGGGAGGTTATCAGAGGAGAAATTAAAGTGTTCCTTTCTCTCATGTAATAATTCTCCAATTACTGTCAACAAATAAAGAAGAAAGGTACACCTGTGACACTTCTAATCAAATGATGATTGTCTGTTTAGTCCTCTAAAGGTACGTCCACTCATATTTCTGCACATGTTGAAAAATATCTGAAGTATCACGAGTTTACAAAAATATATTTACAAAGAAGAACACAATCTATTTTCTTATACAAGTAATTTTACAATGTGCTTTCTAAAATCTGTTTAACTTCTTGGAGGGTATTTGGATTCCCAACTATGACGTTTATTTTAAAATGGAAAGGTTGTTAGCATAGTATGCTGTTCAAGACATTTGTCAGTTAATTTCATGCTAGCTGCTGTAACAGAGAAACAGAAAGATGTCAGTAATTGGGTCATAATAGAAATTTATCTTTCCATCCTTAAGAGAAAAATGCAGGCATTGCTAATCAGATGAATTTTCTAGTTGGCCTCCTCTAAACAGTGATGTAGGGACATGGGTGCCCTCTATTGTGTGGCGTTGCTCTATTCAACGTGTGATTTCCGATTTGGGGTGTGTGAGTCTATTCCACTCAGTGGTAAAGGAAAAAGTATGGGGATTACGTGGGATGTTTTCAAGGGCCAAGACAGTATAGGGCAATATCACCTCTGCTCACATTAGTTGGCCTGAATTATCATGGGAATCTAAGTGCAACGAAGTTGGGAAGTTATTGGGTGACTAATGGAAGAGGAGACAAGTTCAATGAATAAGACTACTTTTCATTTTTATACTATTTGTAGTAATGACATTCAAGAGAAAAGAAACCAAAACAATGTTCTTGCTTACACTCACATTATAAAAAAAGTTTGACTTGGGGTCTGATTCCACAATTTCAACTTAGGTAGGATGACATGGATGTCACTCATTAGAGTTCACAGCGTGATTGACTCTTTGAAAGAAGCATTCAAGTTGATTCCCAAAGGCATAGACTAACAAGGAAAATATCCACAAGTGTAGACACAAGTTGTTTCCTTTTTGCCTGAGAGAGACAAGAAAAGTAGGGCCACGTAGCTCCTTGAAATTACTTGAGGATGACTGAACTGAAAGTGCAGAGTGGGTCTTCCATTCATGTCCAGGCCCGTGATTCTCATCCTTATCTTCTAAATACTGAAAATGCGAACTTGAAGAAAATAGTGCTGCAAAGTCTTTCAAAAAATAACTCACACAATATTCCATTGTAACTTCCCTTGTAGAACCACAAAGAATTTTAAAGTATCTGTAGATTATTGTCCTCTCACATCATATCTATCAAATATATCTATCAAATATATGACTGAGCTCCTGAAATGACAGGGACTGGACTAGCTGTCTAGGAAACGGGGTTGGGTAAGATGGTGTCTCTCCCTTTAGGTATTTTACACACTCCTGCAAGGTATTCTGAGGATACAATAGGTGAGGACATGTCTTACTATTTGGGCATCTTCAACAAAATAGCATAGACTGGGTAGTTTGTAAAGAGCAGAAATTACTCACAGTTCCATAGTCTGGAAATCCAAGATCTGGGTGTCAGCGTGGTCCAGTTCTGCTGAAAGCCTGCTTCCAGGTCACACACTGTCCACTTCTCCTTGGCAGAGACTGGGGGATTTATCTGAGACCTCTTTTAAAAGGGCACTAATTCCAATTGTGAGGCCTCCATCCTCATGACCTAATCACCTCCCAAAGGGCCCACCACCTAACACCATCACTCTGGGGATTAGGACTTTAATGAATCTTGTAGGGTACCAAACCTTAAGAACATAAAGGTCTTTAAAGGCTACACGCCTGTCATTTAGAAGTAAGAATATATTCATGCTGAGTAAATAAAGATGAAAGGGCAGGTTAGCAGGAAAAAAGAGCAGACCAAGGACTCAGAATCCAAACTCATGGTTTTGGACCTGAAGTCATGCTTTAGTTATTACCGGCCAAATTTTGGAAATCAAACTGAAAGAAGCCCACTCTCCCATGGAACGGAACGAAGATACAGGATGCAACAGATCATTCATCATTCTTTGTGAAGAGTCTCCAAAGATTCTCAGGAGAAACGTAGTAATTGCCACGTCAATAAAGATCCCCTAAGGAGTAATATGTGTCTGGTTACTGTGAGCTGTGAGATTCAGGGAAAGTCTGAGTTCAGATAGGTGGCTCTGTGTATGACACCAGGCTAGTTCTTTTCTATTATAACCTAGTAGAGGGCAAATTAGAGATGAGGCCATCCTCATGAGTTTAATATAGTGCCAGGCAAAGGCTGAAAATTGTGCTGCAACTTGAATCCCCAGAGCCATATGCACCTTAAAGGAAACATAATCCTAGTGGTTTTAGCAATAAACTCAGTAGGCACGACTGATACCAGTAAGGGAACAGTGGAAATATTAGCCATTTCGATTATAATCCCAGCAAATATGGCCCTGATGAAGCAAAACAGCTTGGTCATTTGCAAATGCCTTCCAGTAGGAGGAGAAAATCTAAGAAATTGCTTTAGTTAAAACTACTTGTTGAGTGATTACACTGGGCCTGGTGCCGATGATACCGCAGAGAATAAGGCAGATTCCAGTTACCACAGAGCTGATTTGCCAAAGATGGTCACATACCTATTGTTTGAAGATGGGAATGTAGAGGGCTGAAGCAACATAACTTCCACTGCAAAATAAAAAGCATTAAAGATTGGAGCTGAAAGTTAATTCTTTCTATGACATAATATGTATTCAGTTCTAAATTAATTATGAAGATGGTTTCCTTTTGTTTGAAAAGGATAGACTTGGATTGGCACCTCTGAAAATCCTTAGGGAAATTTGAAATTTAATGCAAAAATAGAGAGAAAGGTTCAAATTGATGATGACTGCTAAATCATGCATTCTCATTGGGGATGCTAACTGCTTCCATGGGTAGAAACATTACTTTTTAGGGGTATGACAAATTTTGCTATTACAATGCTGTGGCACTCCAAAGCTTAACCCTATACAACAAAATCTTATTCCTTAGTATTCATTTTTGTCTTTGGGTTTTCTTGTGTATCATACATACAAGAAGCGTTGACACTGAGTTCATGGAAGATAAACAAACTGCATACACGATCAGTGCTCCACACTATGGTGACTTGATGGCTCATTGGAGGACTTTCTCTCCAACATTTGCTTGATCTCAAAGTAATATTGTGAGAGGTGGCCTTTACTTACTTCTGAGCTCCCACTGGCTGTCTTGTGGATGTTGCTTATGTTTGACTCTCAGTATGATTTGCGTTATGGGAATTAAATACAAATAGAAAATTGTATTTGCATATTAAATACAAAAAAGGTTACATTTTATCATTTAATTCTACTGAAGTTGTTCAACACATCCATAATTACAGCAAGTGCTTAACAGAAAAAAATGTTTACAATATCAAGATGAATATCTAGCAGCAGTGAAATTAAAAATTATTTTCTGAAAAATAATTATTGTATGATATGAAGCAAAATTAAAAGCTAAGTACCTAAAAATAAATATTAAGAAAATAATGTTCAAATTTCAATGATTTTGAGCAGTTTTGAATGATTTTTAAGTATATATATACCTTGATAGTACTATAAAGTTTATAAATTTTATTTGAATATGTAGTTTACTACATTCCTGTTTATATAAGTAAATATAGTAATTAAAAGTCACTCTGAAAACTTAGTTGTAAAGTTAAATTAAAATTCAATAGCTTATCAATCAGTGTGATACACCACATCAACAAATTGAAGAATAAAAGCCATATGATCATCTCAATAGATACAGAAAAATCTTTTGACAAAATTCAACACCCATTTATGAAGAAAACTCTCCAGAAAGTGGGCATAGATGGAAACTAACTCAACATAATAAAGACCATATACAACAAACCCACAGCAAACATCATTCTCAATGGTGAAAAACTGAAAGCATTTCCTCTAAGATCAGGAACAAGACAAGGATGTCCACTCTCACCACTATTATTCAACATAAACCTTGGAAGTCCTAGCCACAGCAATCAGAGAAGAAAAATAAATAAAAGGAATCCAAATTGGAAAAGAAGTAAAACTGTAACTGTTTGCAGATGACATGATACTATACAGAGAAGATCCTAAAGATGTTACTAGAAAACTACTAGAGCTCATCAATGAATTTGGTAAAGTTGCAGGATACAAACTTAATACACAGAAATCTCTTGCATTCCTATACACTAACCATGAAAGATCAGAAAGAGAAATCAAGAAAACAATCCCATTTACCATCAGATCAAAAGCAATAAAACACCTAGGAATAAACCTACCTAAGGAGGCAGAAGATTTGTACTCAGAAAACTGTAAGACACTGATGAAAGAAATCAAAGATGACCCAAACAGGACTTCCCTGGTGGTGCATTGGTTAAGAATCCGCCTACCAATGCAGGGGACATGGGTTTGAGCCCTGGTCCGGGAAGATCCCAGGTGCCATGGAGCAACTAAGCCCATGCGCCACAACTACTGAGCCTGCATGCCACAACTACTGAAGCCCATGTGCCTAGAGCCCGTGCTTTGCAGAGAGAGAAGCCACCGCAATGAGAAGCCCACACACTGCACCGATAAGTAGCCCCTGCTTGCCGCAACTATAGAAAGCCTGCATGCAGCAACAAAGACCCAATGTAGACATAAATAAATAAATAAATAAATAAATAAATATGACACAAACAAATGGAGAGATGTACTGATACCATATTCTTGGATTGGAAGCATCAATACTGTGATAATGACTATACTACCCAAAGCAATCTACAGTTTCAATGCAATCCCTATTAAATTACCAATGGCATTTACTACAGAGTTAGAACAAAAAATTTTACAATTTATATGGAAACACAAAAGACCATGAAAAGCTAAGCAATATTGAGAAAGAAAAATGGAGCTGGAGGAATCAGGCTCCCTGACTTCAGACTGCACTACAAAGCTATAGTAATCAAAACCATATGGTACTGGCCCAAAAACAGAAATATAGATCAATGGAACAGGATAGAAAGTCCAGAGTT